ACTATCATTGTAATTCTTGCTTTCATGGCTACCAAGCCAGGATCCAGAATGAGAAAATGGATGGGAAAGAGGCTGGGTCTTTCTATCGTCCTTTCTTGCTCTTTTATTCAAACCATTATTTGTATTATATGGCTATCTATCTCATACCCATTTGTAGATGTTGACATGCATTCCATGCCAAAGGAAATTGTATTGATGTATAATGAAGGGTCAACTGTCATGTTCTACTGTGTCCTTGGTTTTATGGGTTTCTTGGCAACTTTCAGCTTCATAGTGGCTTTCCTGGTCAGGAAGTTACCTGACACCTTTAATGAAGCCAAATTTATCACCTTTAGCATGTTGATATTTTGCACCATCTGGCTATCATTTGTTCCAACATACTTGAGCACAAAGGGGAAATATATGGTGGCTGTTGAGATCTTCTCCATTTTGTGCTCCAGTGGCGGGTTACTGGCTTTTATCATCTTCCCAAAATGTTACATTATTTTGGTAAGGCCTGATTTAAATAACAAGGAACAGCTAAGAAAGGGAAGAATTTAACATTGGGTGCAAATAAATAGATTTCATTAAATATATTTCATTTTCAAGGAAACATATTGTATTTTATATAGCTTGGTTTCTGTGTTCTCATCATATAATCTCCTTCTCTAAAACTGAAATTGAATAAAATTTGTTAATTACATGAAAGACAATCTATTGTCAGTGTAACCACAACCAGTTATCTGTAAAAAAAAAAAGATAACTCTTATGTCATAGTTGAAAAGCAGCAGGACATAATTGTCAGCTTATGGAGCAGAGGTGACACATGTCTAAAATGACTTACACCCATAACTATCCATGTATGAGCTAAAATTTTGGATAGTGTCCAAGTGGTGTAGGGTTTCCAGCCTAAGCAGGGGGTTGGACTAGAAGACCTCCAAGGTTCCTTCCCACTCTGTTATTCTATTCTATTTACGTAGATATAAATTACATTGCAGAAATCCATTCAGGAAATGACTAGGGCATGATTGACTATGAGCAGAGCCTCCCAGTCCAGGAATAGACATAACTGGTACAAAATGCAAAGCTTAAGTGCCACCTGCTCATCAAACAGGAGCCACAAGTTCAGGTGGATTTCTAGATTGTGCACAGGGTGTGTTTGGGGGCCATTCAGAACAAGAGATGGAAGATTCTCAGAGCCAGAGAGTCCAAAACCCCAAATNGAAGGAAACTTATTTCGCAAAGGAGAAAAACAAATGCTGTTGCTTTAAATCGGAACTGAGCATGCCTGGCTGTGGAATTCTGGGAGTTGAAGTCCGCAAGTCTAAAAATTGTTTTCAGAGCCTCACCAGCCATAAACCTCACCGCACATCACTGCTCTCTATATGAACTTTTGGATGGGCTGAATCAATTGATAAACTGTTTTTCCCTAAAGGATTCTGCATTATAAGGGATCATATATGAATTCCTTCTGAAAGATTCATCTATGAAAGCACTTACCACTATGGTTATTTGTAGATGTACACATTTGCAATATGGAAAATATTCTTTTCTTTGGTTTATCTTTAGACACAGCCTTTTTCTCTCTGCAATGACAATTGTCATCCAGGTTACAGGAAGGGGGAAAAGTAAGGGAAACCATTTTGTTGCTATGATTGCCTTCCTTGCCCAGGAGGGAAGATTTCTAATCAGAAAGGTAAGTGATCATTTGTAAAGGAATAGTCCTTCACTTTCTGTCTGTGATCATAACTGATTACCTGCTGAGTTACTCAGGTTGATTGATTGATTGATTCATTCATTCAGTCATTCATTCAATTTCTATAGTCATCCAACTCAACTAAGTGAGTTTGGGAGGTTTATAATTCTAAAATGTAAACAATTTAGAAAACATTTAAATGATAAAAACACCCACAAAATAAATAGTACAAACAGCACCTATGATGATGAATCAACTAATAGTAAATCCAAGAAACAGGGCCAGGGGTGAAATGCTACTAGTAAAAAATTCTACTGGTTCGCAAAACAGGTAATAAAAATTACTTTTAAAAGTTTTTTTTAAAAAACGATTGCACGTCACACAGCTGATCTTTGGAACATTTTTAAAGCATTTTTTTTACTACATGTTCTCAGGAAATGCAGGGATGAGGGGTCCGTTTTTACTCCCAGCAGGCTTACCTGAGGCCTGCTAAGCCAAAAATGGTAGGCAGGGGAGCTGAGAAAGAAAGAAAGAAAGAAAGAAAGAAAGAAAGAAAGAANGGATTTGATATTGTCAACTGGGTAACATTCCCAAACCTTTCCTTCCTTCGAGTCAAAGTTGGAGACATACAAGCCTTGTCTCTCGCAGAAAAAACGTTGTCTATTTCAGAGGAAACCATAATCTGGCCAAAGTGGTTTAATGAGGTAGGTTCTGTAACTCTTTTTCGATTCGAGAGTTATAAAGCTTGGGGGAAAGGATTTTTTTAAGCAACTCTTCTTCTAATATCTCAGAAAGGTGTTTGAAAATACAGAGAAGATGTAGAAAGAAATGTCAGATCACAGGACATAGGAGAAAGAATCCAACCAAACATGAAATATTTAAATATTTCACAGAGTATCAATATGCAGGTTTTCATATATTTCAGGATCAGTATGCCAGCATGTTTATTAGATTGCATTCATTTTTACCACAGTTTCTATCCGAAATCGTGATTTAGATATAGTTGGAAGCTATATTCTTATGAGTCATTACCTACAATTGAAGAATTTCTAATTGTAAACTTGTGAGAGGAAAATTAATAATTAACAAGATATCACTAAGGAATGCTAAGAAATTCAAAACATGACATTTAAAATGCATTTGATTAGTGCTGACATATGTCAGATTATTTATTTTTTTCTCTGATTCTCTACCTAGCTATCACTCTCTATCAGTGACATGCAGTCAGGGGAGGCAGGGGAGGCAGAGCTTCACCACTGTCATCATGAAAAGGAAAAAAAATGTAAAAGGAGAAAGGCAAGAGCTGAGGTCAGGCTGAGATAATTGCTGCCAGAATCACCGTGTGGATGACTCTGCTTAACTGTTTAAAAAAGCCTCTAAAAAAGTGCCCTCTACAGGAGGCAGGAGAACGATGTGCCTCAGCTAGTCTGACTTTAGGCATTTTATGATCACTTGAGTAGAGTTAAGCAAGGGTTAAAAGCCAAAAAATTCCTGACATAGACGAGGCACATAGTTCTTCTGCCTCCTCCTGTAGAGGGTGCTTTTTTAAGAGGCTTTTTTAAACAGTTAAGCAGAGTCATCCATGGTGACTATGGCAGCAACTAGCTCAGCCTGACCTCAGCTCTTGCCTTTTTCCTTACATTTTTTTTTCATGATGGCAGGCAAGAGCAGAGTTGA